CACACAGGGGTTTTCCAGACCTGGTTCTACTCCCAAATACTGATAAGATTTTAGAAAAGTCAATTTTTACCCAGGGAAATAGTTCAGCGGCACAGGGCCTGCTTAGCAAGCATGAGGTTCTGAGTTCGATTCCTAGTGCAAAAAAAAAAAGAAAGTCAATTTCTCTTTCTCAATTTCAGTTTCTTTACGTGCAAAATGGGGAGTAAAATTAGGTCCTCATCACAGGTTTGTCAATGTTTGCTGTTCGAAAGTTCCAGAATCTCATCCCTAACTATACTGTTAGTTTCTTGCAAACAGGAACTATACCCAAGAATACTGACCAAAGTTTTTTTTTTTATATTGGGATTATCTGGAGCATTTGATAAAACACAAATGGCTAGGAATTATTTTCAGAGCTTCTGAAAGAGTCTTGAAACATAGAGCTTGAGAATCACTGCATTTAGTATATAATTTATATAAAGACTACTCAATAAAGCTGCTGGGACAGTAAAACCAGTTAATTCAGTAAAATAAATCACTAACGGTGGGTAAAATGAGGCAGTAAGTTAATGTTCAGTTGGTTCCTTTGTTTCTGGTAAAACGCAGTGCCATTCCTAACACAGAGAGTCAAGTGTTCAATACTTTCCTCCCTTCAAGGCATAAATTGCACCGACCGGGGCTGGGGGTTTAGCTCAGCGGCATAAGCACCTGCCTTGCAAGCAGGCGGTCGTGAGTTCGATCCCCGGTACCGATAAAAATGAAAAAGACAAAAAAAAATAAAAAATAAAAAATAAAAAAAAAATAAATTGCACCGACCATGGAACAAAGTGAACAACAACAACAACAACAACAACAACAACAACAACAAAAAACACTTCTAATTAAGGAATCAGGCAATCATTATGCCTCTGAGTTACTACGGAGATTTCACTCTCCTTTTCAGGCAGGATTTCTTGGCCTCTTCAGTTCAATTGCTGAAAAGCTTGACTGTCTATTTTTTAAGCACTAATAAGATGGAAACAAATCAATGGCAACAGGAAAGGTGACAAGTAACACTGGGGACAGGAGTAAAAATAAAGAGACAGATACAGAATGAATAAACATTTATAAAATCAAAAGCCATCATCAAAAAGGGATGATTTGTTTAAGATTATAAGAAAATATACAACATGATTTTAGAATTGTCTTAAAAAGCTGTCACACTTGAAGAGGTAGGGTTTACTTACTTAGAACCTCTTTCTTATGAAGAACATCTCTCATGAAATCCAATATATCAAGAGTTAATAATAGAGAATTGTTTTGATTTTCCATATTGGGAGAAGGAACAAAAAACACAAGCATATGCCAAGACTCTAAGGATACAGAAGTCTGGTTCTGTAGCCCTCAGCCCAAGAGATTTTTGTATAAATGCTGATAGAAGATGGAAAGCTTCAGAGTGCACTGGGATAAACAGCTCTGCACAAGTAACTAGGAACATGTTCTACTTCAACATACCTGCCTCCCAAGGAGGTGAAACAATAGCCAAGTGCAGAACAAAGCAAAACAGGGTCCTACCAAACAATTAAACATCCTGTGTAAGTACTGAAATATTTCCAACCAGCAGGTCACTTCTAATAATGATATTCTCTAGGTTTAATGGAATTTTAGTCTTAACAATGTTAGCATCCCATTAAAGAGCTCTAAATAGGGTATGCATGGTTCAACACACGTTAGAGAAGAAAAACTGGCTACCGAGTAGAGACTGGCTTAGAAAGCAGCAAGACTTCAGGAAGAAAGACCAAGTCAAGGTTCTCGCAATGGTCCAAGGAGTAAACAGGCCAGTGGGAGAAAAGCAGGTAGTTCCACCGGGTGCAGGGAGGAAAATGACAGATCTTGGTGATTAAACCGGGACAGAGAAGTTTAGAAAAGTGGAAAAAATGATTCCAAGTTTCTGATTTAAGCCACTGAGTGCATGTTGGTGCCACTGACTAAATGAGGGAAAATGAGAAATGGTCTCTGTTCGTTTATTTATTTGTTTTGCTTGGTCTTTAAGGTGAGGGTAGGAGACAGAGATGATGAGACAGCTTTGGACATGCATAGTTTAGGAGTTTGTGGAACAACCAAGTGGACATGTCCAATTGAAGAGGAGGATGTGAGTCAGTGGTAATCAGCCAAGGTAGCAACACCAGAGGAGTGGATGAAGTCACTCAGAGCTCTGAGAGCACATAGAGGAAAACAATGAAAAACACTGACACCTGAAGGAAGACCAAGGGAAAAGACCACAAAATATGATTATACACGAAGGCCTTTGAGAGCCGTGCATAATGTGAGAAATAGTACAGAACCCACAACCATTAAATAGGAAAAGAAAAAGCAGGAATTGGCTATTGGTAGCATGCCCGAATCTGCTTTCCTAGCCCAGTGGAGCCACGTTCCAGCCACTGAAGGGAATCAGCATTTGTTGAAAGTAGCAGCCTCTTTTTCCTTGAAATATTTGGGAACACAGCTGTTTGCAGTCTCCCTGTTTGAATGTCCACTTTGTATTCTTTGATACTGTGATTTGAGCAACTATTTCCAAGATGATAAAATGTAATCTATTAACAGGTGATTTCCTACTGTTACGTTTTTTTTTTTTTTTTTAGTTCGGTATTACATGTACCCTTACACTGCTTTGTTTTGTTTTGTGTTTTTCTCTTTTTCCTCTTAAATAAAATTAAAAAAAAGAAAGAAAAGAAAGTAGCAGCCTCCCCTTCCTGCACGAGATCCCCCGGGAATGACAGGCAGGATGATGACATCCTTGCCCCAGGGCAGGACTCCACTGCAGTGCCCTTTGCGCGTTGCGGCTCCCAATGGAAGCCACTTAAGGCTGTACTTCAAGTGAAATAATACCTTTGCTTAACTTCCCCCTTTCCCTACCTGGCTTTCCTTATTTCCTCACAGTTTTCCCCAGAAAGCACTGCCTAGGAATCTTTTCATCACCAAAAATCAATAAATGAGATCATATCAAATTAAAAAGCCCCTGCACACACAAAAAAGAGTGCAGAGACAGCCTACAAAACAAGGGATGCCACCTATTCCTCAGGCAAAGGACTAACATTTAGAAAATATAAAGAACTCAAAAAAACAGACTCCCCAAAATAAAAGACTCAGATAAAATAAAAGAAAAAAAATGGGAAATAGACGTTTCTCAAAAGTACAATGGCCAATAAATACATGAAAATATGCTCAATATCGCTGGCCACCAGAGAAATGCAAATTAGAAGTATTGTGGGATACCACTTTACCACACAATGAATGACAATCATCAAAAATCATACAAAGACAAAAGCTGGCAAGGCTGTGGGGAAGAGGAAACCCTTCTACATTGTTGGTGGGAATGTGAACTAGTCCAATCACTGTAGAAATCAGGGCAAGATCCTCAAAAAACTACAACTACAAGTTCCATTTGATCCAGCTATTGTTCTTCCAGGTATTTTGCCCAAAGAGCTAAAGATATTATATCACAGGAATGTATGCACATGTTTATAGCAGTATAGCACCATGACTAGATCCTGGAAACAGCATGCATACCCATCAGCAGATGAATAAGGAAAACATGACATTTCCACACAGTTAAAGTACTACTCTGCCATAAAGAAGGAAAAATTTGAGTCATCTGTAGGAAAATGGATGCACCCTAAGGCCACGTTAAGTGAAATAAAACATACATACAAGCTTAAGTAACACATAATTTCTTTTATATGAGAAATGAGAGAAAGAGAGACAGACAGAGAGAGAGAGAGAGAGAGAGAGAGAGAGAGAGAGAGACAGAGACAGAGAGACAGAGAGACAGAGAGACAGAGAGACAGAGACAGAGACAGAGACAGAGACAGAGACAGAGAGAAACAGGAAATAGGGAGAAGGCCAATAATTCCCCAAATTACCTGCCACATTGTTTCAAAATACTTTTACCACTTACCAGTCCAATGCTTTAAATATAGCATGACCACAAATTGCATAATTTTTCTATAATGTTTGTAAGATAACACAACAGGAAATATTAAAGCAGTAAGGGCAAGTGTGTCTTGTGCAAACAGAGATCATGGTTGAAATGACACCTTCCAGTGATGCACAGGGTGAACTGTTAGATTTGGTGATTTGTACTGCTAGTTTTCCTTAGTTTACTGAAGAGAGCTGTGTGCTTCTATCTGTTTTTTGTAAGAGTTATACACTGTCTATTGTCTATGACTTATACTTTGACTAATAATTTGGTCCTTCTGTTAAGATTAAGATGTATAATGTATTAGCTATTATTCTCAAAGTATTTCATTAAATTTTTTGTTTGATTTTGTCATAGAAGAATGCTTTCTTACATTTTCTTTATTAATATTCATTTGAAGTCAGACAGCGGGGGGGGGGAGGAATGGGTGAGAGGCAGCTGGCAATGGAGCAGAGCACTTTGGAGAAGCATGGCTGAGAGGTGGAAGGAAGACTCCTGTCTCCTGTCCAGGGAACATCTGGAGAGCAGGGTTTTAAGTTTCAGATGGGAGATGGCTAACCATACTGAAATGCTAAGTGACCAGAGCCATTGAAAAAAATAAAAGACAAAGTAAAATCCTAGAAGAACAGCGATAAAACTCATTGGAAAAGGCTGGCAAAAACTGCTTTTAAAATATCACTTGCTGGGCATGGTGGCACACACCTGTAATTGTAGCGCTCAGGAGGCTGAGGCAGAAGGATCACTAAGAGTTCAAAGCCATCCTGAGCTACATAATGAGTTGAAGGCCAGCCTGAACTGCATAATGAAACTGTTTCTCAAAAAGATGACAAAAACAACAAAGTTATCACAGAGGGGATTCAAGCCAGGACTAAGGAGCTGCACGAAGGACTCTGACATCTCTTTCTACCTGAAGAGTCTGAAATAACATGGTTTTTCCTAAACACTGGGTAATGCATAAATATCTGAGAGCAGGATACTTGGGTCCATGTAGAAGTATCTGATAAATATCTGATGCAAAAATTTAACACATTCATCTTTTGTTCCAATGGTTAAAGCTTCTTACCCGCCAATATCTTGCTTTACAAAGTCCCCAGGTTCTTGCCGTCTTGATTCTCCTTGGCCAGCGGTTCCAGGGAGGATGGTCAACAGTAAAAGAAGCCCAAGTCCGGTCATGTAGAAGGGACACATTTGTGTGATTATCATCTTCTTAGGTACCAACCTGGAGAAACCTGTGAGAGCCACCATCCAGGGAAAAGGGAGAGACAAAAGAGTAGAAGACAAAGTGAGAGAGGAGGAAGAGATTAAAAAAACTTTACTCTCTGGGAGCCATTTAACTTCTACAATATCTATTTAACTCAGTGCAACCACAATTCACTCCCAAGATACACCTCTTCTGAATACATGAGGCCCACCCCGAAAGAGGATGACAAAGTAGGAAGAGCTCTACGTCAGCAGCGAGGAGTCTCACGTTGGAGTTTCACCTCATTCCCTGTCTTCCTGTACGAATGAGCTGTAGAATTTCTGCCCCAGTTACCTTTTAAAATCTAAGATTTTAAGGGCTAGAGCTCCAGATCAGCGGCACAGGGGCCTCCCTGCAAGCGCAAGGCCCTGAGTTAGATTCTCAACACCAAAAAGCAAAAACCTTAAGAGTTTAAAATTGTTTCTCATGTCTTAATGTTACTTGTCTTCAATCCTGTTTGATCTGTAGTGACACAAAGACCTTTGTCTTGGTTAATTGTGCTATGATGTATAAAATTTAGTGTATTAAAACTTGGAGTCACTTTATAGATTATTTTTGGATTAATTTTTATATCAGTACAGTTGAGCAATTTTCTACAATATCAGAGTGTCTAGAATAGACACTGTTTCCTCTGAATCAGGGTGAAAAAATACAGAATGATGAGACACTATGGATCTGGAATAAGAATGTGACATTTCCTCAGTTAAGAGAAATCTAAGTGGAAAGCAAACTCCATAGAATAGGAATTAAAACATAAAGAAACCCAAACCTATCATCCTGGCATAGAAGTTCTTAAGGAGTCGTCAGAACATATCAAAGTTACAAACTGCGATTTGGAACTGCCTACGTGCAAGGCTGGCTGGTTTATGAACCCTGGCCTGGCAGAGGTTTACTCAAGACATGGAGTTAAAAAAACAGCCAACAAACTTACCCTTGCTTATTATCTCTCTTTTTTTAATTTAATTAAGTTTATTGGTACAATTTAGTTATTCACGATGGTCACATTCATCCCAGGAAATTTGTACCTGTACATTACTATAACTTGATTTGTCTTCCCTCCCACTCCCCTCCCCTTCCTTCCACCCCTCTTCCCCTCCTTATTTACAAAGCTTTGTTTGCATTTACTTCTTCTTTTCTCATTTCTTCTTTTCTCTTCCTTCCTTTCCTTCCCCCTAGTTCCCCTTTTCTTTGGAGCAATTTCTTCCCATTTCACTACTTCTGTGTTGCTCCCTTGAATTTGAAATACTGAACATGTAAAGAGGACCTAACTCCGAGTGAAGGCTATTCTTTTTCAGTCATATCAACAGATTGATTTTCAGAGAGAAAAAAGGGATATTGAACCATTTTAAGGAAAGCATATCCAATAGATCAGTATGCAAAACAGATACAGACTGTGTTGCTATTCTGACTAGTGAAAAGATTAAGAAAAGAAACCTTCTAAATCTATCCTCCCAAAATTAGCCACTGGAGTCTGTATTAAGCTATCTTCATGAATCTGGTTCCTGAATGTGAAAAATTGTAATTCTGGAGAAAACGGGCTTCCAATATGACAAAAGTTCTCAATAAGAGGTAGGTATTACTGTACTAGTAGATTGTGCTGCACAACATAGTCAATATTTGATTATTTTTGTTTCAGAAAACAGAAATTTCTTTTGTTTAACCTTATGTATGTACCGTGATATACATTATTCATGAAATGCACAAGAGTTATTGGACGTTTTGCACAAATTAACAGGAATGAATAACTCATAAAATACTGCGAGTAAGAAAATACGGTGTATAATCAGACAACTCTGGAGTGTAAGCAACATCCATAGTGTACACAACAGCCCTGGCACACACTTAAATACCTACAGTGCCTCACAGACACAACAAGGCTTAATGCTCAGGTAATCAGGACACAGGCACTGGAACTGACAACTATTCTACGGGAGCAGAGAGATGCGTTATAGGGTAGAAAGTCGAAGTTCTGAAAATTAACCATAGAATGTAAGACAAATCATGATGCACACTCAGAAAACAATTGTGAGTACAGAAAACAGCGGCCATGTGGCATGAACGACAATGCTCAGCTATGCTATTCCTCTACGTGGCTATGGGCTCTGTTTCAAGTACAGCATGTCAGTAACAAATCAACACACTGAGAATAGATGACAATGACACAGAAATAGGTGTTCACAATTTGGAAGAATAAAAATATGATATATAGTATGATGTATAAGGAGATAATATCAAAATTCATTATATTTTCAAAACTGTTATACATTAGAAAACAGTGTTCACATACAATAAAATACAGAAGACAAAAAATGTACCCCCTGGCAACCACACCATTTAGTAATCATATGTGTCAGAAAACCACAGTACACAAGTATAACAATTAGAAAACACAAGGTCCTTGATACACACTCTTAAGATACAGTGTACAATTAAAGACCTGTCACGGGATTGATTCACAACAATGTGAATATACTTGATGCTACAGAACTGTATATTTAAAAACATTTAACATAGCACATTTTATGTGGTTTTATTGGCCCAAGTAGAAAACAATTTGTAGAAAGCACACTGCTGGAATAGGCAGCATTGGCAAGCTAGCAAATGTTCACAGAATGGGACCATATCTGTTATTTGTGCAGAGATTTGTAACTTGAACAGGTATTAGCACTAAATGGGCACACATGTGTGGTACATGCTTAGAGCACCATCAAACAAACACAGAGGACTTCGAGAAATGGTACACAAAATATTTACTATGAAAAAGTTGGTAATAGTCCAAGTGACTGTGATGTATAAACTGAAACTGTGACAGTGGACCATGGTCAAGTATTCACATAGCTGGAGATCACCATGGTACACGCTGAGTCAACCATGTGTGTATCACTAGAGCAGAGATGCAACAAGTAGATGAAAACGGCTATAAAGAAGAACTGATGTCCTTGGGGTAACAATTATTATGATGAATAAATAACCTAAGATCTACAACCACACAAGATCGTATACACCTCCATGGTGAATAAATTGCAGTAAAGGAATATCACTTAGTACTTTGTATATTAACCTATGATACATGAGAAGAAAGTTAAATTTAATACTTGCTCTAGAATTATTCTGAAGAAGCCAAACCACATTGTAAATGAACCATGCATATGTTTGTATCAGCATGGAAAAACCCCAATATAATATGAGCTTACGGCTCACCACAGCAAGCTAACAAATGCCTGTGGTAAGAGCGAAGTGGCTAGGAAACAGGAGACAACGCTTGTGCGGGCTTAGATAGTAGCAGTGGAAAATGTCACCTATAAAGCTGATGAACTGCAAGTTAATACTTCCAATGCACATTGCCTTGAACCCGGATCTCCATCTGTTGCCCAGGGAAGTCCTCATGTCATAAGCCCTCATGCTAACACATAGGTTATACCTAGCACGTTCAAATCTGAGGTCCACATATTCACACCCCCTTCTTACACAAATCTGTTCCTCCTGCAGTCTTTCCCATGCTGAGTAATAATAGCTCTGTCCCTGAACAGGTTCAGAGTGAAGACTCTGATGTTATTCTTTTGTTTTCATAACCCACATCCAATCTATCAGCAAGTCCCACAGATATCCCATTCCAAAAGAAACACATCCACCATCACGGCTCCTGGCCCGTCCTCTCAGCACAATTATTGTAAAAGCAACCCAAGAGGTCCAGCTGCCTCTGCCTTTGCTCTCCCCTACAATCAGCTCTCCGTATAGCCTCCAGAGGGAACTTTTACACCGTTACATCAGATGTGCCTCTCCTCTGCTGAAAATCCTCTCATTTCTTCCCAATTCAAATGCCTCCAATGATCCACGAGGCCCTCTATGATCTAACGCTCAAAAAGCTGGATCACTTTACCCTCTACTCCTCTGTGCTCTTGCATAGTCCACTTCAGCAACTGTGACCTCCTGATCGCTCACTGAGTGTGTCAGGCACGCTCCTGTCCCGGGATATTTGCCTCTACCTAGAATTTTCTCGAACCAATTTCTGAATAGTTTGTTCCTTCAGGTTTTTATTCAAATATCAACTTTGCATTGCAACTTTCCCTCGTTCACCTATCTAAAATTTCAACCTGTCTCAACATCCAATAAATGTCTAAGCAATCGCCTGCTCTGTTTTTCTTCCTTTGCACTTCGCATGTGCATTTTATTTACTTTTCAATTCCCTACTTCCTGAATGACATACAAATCCAACAAGAATAAAGAGTTTCGCTTGTTTTATTCTGAGATACAAGGTTATCCTTTGGTATCCATGAGGGATGGCTTCCAAGACCTCTGCAGATAATGAAACCAATGTATGTTCAAGTCCCTTACATAAAATGGACAGCGTTTGCATGGAACCTACATATACTCCCCCATATATATATATACATACGCATATACATAGACTTACACATATACATACATATACATATACTGTGGTTCACAAATGCTTCTCTTCACAAGCAATTCGAGTGGCAAACAGAAGTTTTCTGCAAAATTTCAATTCTCTTTGCAAACTGCACGTCTGGCAACAAACACAATCACAGCCATCTCCCCAGAATCATGGAAAGAATTAAGTTCATGAACCATACTTTAAATCATTTCTGGCTTCTTTATAATACCTAAGACAAAGTAAATGCTATGCATATTGTGTTGCTTTGGGAATAATAACCAGATTAAAATATATATATATATATATATATATATATACACACATATACATATATATATATATATATATATATATATATATATATATATATATATATAATCTCCAGTAGAGACATCAGTTTTCAAAACAAATATTTTCAGTCGGTGGTTGGTTGAAACTGTGGATACAGGACTCGCAAATATGAAGGGCTGACTGTGTACCAAATGCACTGAACAGCATCTGACATTTTTAAGATAACAAATAACTGCCTAGATGCTGTCCTGAAAAAGACATATCCCTAAATGAAGTAAGGGAATATAAAGGATCGATGAGCA